CCATTTAGAAGATAAAGAACGAAAATTAAGAAGTTTTTTGTTGATATCTTGGTAGGAGATGAACAATCCCGCTCATGCCCATATCCTATTCATCTCAAGAGACATGACTATTTACAACTACGGTCTACAACATTTTCTTTGGAACGCCTTCAAATCCTTATCCAAGGATCGATGATTATAGGTTTCGTCATCTCACATCCACAATGTGGTGGCATTGGCATCTTTTATCTTTAGGAAATTTCCCTATTACAGTAAACCTTATGATCTTATATGGCTCAAAGGAAGCGTGGCTCAGAGGAGGCATATGCTTAATTTTTATTAAAATTGTATTGAGTGTCCATCTCTTTGTCTTCGCTCCTTTCTTCTTCTTTTTCAAGAGTATCTTTTAGCAACACAAATTGTATAGACAAAGAAATATATTTGGAAACCTACAAAGAAATTATTTTCATATTGATTGTCTACTAGTTGAGATAGTATATTTATGTAAATCACATCCTAATTTTATTTGGTGAATATACTTACGAATAAAGTAATATGTTTTATTCTTCACAGTTTTCATGTTGAGGTCCTCTTTTTTAACAGCTTGGTTGAGTGATTGTCATGAGCATATGAGTTGATGGAGAAAAGGATAGCGTTACCTTTCGACATAAGTTTGGAATCGTAGTTCCGATAGACACCATGAAGAACGTGGTAAAACCATAAAAGGGTTTTGAGTGGTTTCGGATTGACTTAGTAAAAGCCTTAAAGCTATTTTTGTTTTGCTTTGGAAAATTGCTTATGTTTTGTAATGAAGATTGATATCTAGTGGATATATTTATTGAAGCAAATTTAGTTACCAAAATCCATCTTGTTTTATAAACTAGAAATGAGAAACAATTAAAGCTATGCGTATAGTAACAAGAATGTGGTGGTGCTACCGTGCTAGACTGCTAATTATCAAACCATATTTTCAAACCATTTTACGTAGTGGTTTCGTAGAGATTAATCATGTAATGTATTGATATGTTTATTTAAAAAAAAAACACATGAAAAGATTAATTAACTTTTGAATCCTTAGTCTCGTTTTTTTTCTTATCATCATATCTTACATTGATAATTAGGTTGTCACAACTTGGTTTTTTTGTCCCTTTAAGTCATTGATAATTAACTTTGGTTTTGAATTCATTATTCATCTTAGATTGGTTTTTAGATTTATTATTTTCTTCCACTAGGTTTAAATTTGATGATGCCATTATGCTTTTTCATGATTTTTAAACTCTAAATCTGGTTAATTTACTTGTGTTTTTGTTTTTATTCACATTGTAACTTTAAGGTAATAGATATTGTTTTCTTCCATCAGCTTCGTCGACGCTGCCGGGGATGCAGCTTACTTGAATGGAGGAGCAGGCTAGATCTTCACAAACCAGAGTAAAGTTACTTTGTTTCAAGGTTCTTCTACTCATCGCTTTGTCTCCTCGGCATTGATGGTTGAAGCCCTTGTTCTAAAAGCCGCAATTGTAGCACAAGTTGTTTGTCGAAATTCTTTTCTCCTTTTATTCGTTTTTATTATATATGGTTCTCGTAAAGAGAATATGTTGGACGATAAATTAGAAAAAGAAGCTCGTCGAGCCTTTTCAATTTCTTCCATGTAAGTTTAATTACGCAGACAAAATGCTAAGAAATAGAGATGTGTAATATATGATCCAATTTCCATAAATCCAGAGAAACCACTAAAAGAAACCAATAAAAACCCAACACGTGTACTGCATCTCTGAAAATGGGTCCCACTTAGACGCAATATGACAAAACATCGAAACAGAAATCCAATCTCCCTCCA